TGAGCTACAGGCAGTAAGCCAAAGTCTGTGAACCTTTCATTGTATTCTCCAATTAATAGGTCTATAAGAGCTGCTTATTCTTCACATGATTCACATGTATCATCCTGCTCATCTTTGCTAACTAGGGAAAATGTTTATCTGAAATTTCCTTGTGAAGAAGTGTTTTGCAAAACGATTGCTTTTTACAAGATGCTTGTGTGGGGTGGGGTGGGGTGGTCACTGCCATGTACAGACTCAGCTTTACCTTATAGCAGTAGTCACGTCATTTGGATTTGATGTGGCATTGCACAGTAATACGGCATTCCTGCAGCAATCTCCTTTCAGTAATTCACATTGCTGATTCTCTTCTCCATAAAATTTACCTACCTGTTCTCACAGGGATACAATTTGGCTAACACCTGTCCCTGTGATGCCAACACACTCGGAAAGATGTGACGACCCCACATCAGACACCTCATCATTCAGCTTTTGCATGTTATGAAACTGACCATTCTGTGTTGCGTTTGCAGGAATATAGTTAATGATGCTTATAACTTGTTGCAAATGTCACTTAAAATAGTCAGTTTTGCCAGTGATTTTGCTAATGCAAGATACAGTGAAAAGAATACAGGAGCACCCGGATCTGTTGATACATGTTTTTATCTGTGCTTTAAACCCTTGGTGTTTTCCCATCATGGAAGGTCCACTGTCTGTACACACATTCACCAGATACACCAAGTTCAGTCCAGCTTCATGACATTTATCTTGAAAGTTGTTGGAGATACCTGTTCCCCGTGTTTTCTGGGTAAGTGTACCCAAAGCATGTAACTCTTCATAGCAAAGAAAATGATCATTAATGACCCAAATTATAAAACCTGCACCAAGTCAGTAGTATCTATAGATTCATCCAAAGCAGTTGAATAGTATATAGTTTACTTTCTAAATATTGCATGAAATTATTCTGTTCAGTGGAAGGCTAATTCATGCAGCTGCTCAGTTCTGGTTCCCCCTGAAAAGAGGCAGTTACTTGTACTTTGAAATGCTATTTGGGTCTAAGTATCCTATAACTTCTGCAACCCATTCTTTCACAATTTCTACATCACGGAATCACTTCTCTTTTCACAAGCATATCGGGTACTTTATAAATTGCTTCAGTGGCCTTGTTTCCAGATCTTATCGCTGTTTGAAAGGAATGTCTTTGCTTTCATCATTTAATTTCTGCAATACAACCTTCCATCCCTCTCCCTCTGATTTTACATATATGTGGTCCTTACGAGGGTTAGAATGCTGATAAGCATTGAGTTTCTTTAATGTTGATGTTGCAGGATCACAAAGCAAGCAAATCATCTTGTCTTCAGCAGAAAGAAGGGAACAGTGCAATCCCAGATCCTCACTGCAAACTCTGCCTTCTTCCCTCAGCGTTCCCTGGGTCGTCTTTGACATGATGGGCTGTTAAGCAGAGAGAATTAAAAATACTGATGAGCAGGCTGTGTCTGTGGCTCAAAAGAGCAGGGCGCCAACCCCATATGCTAGAGGTTCAAACCCAGCCCCGGCCAAAAACTGCAAAAAAAAAATACTGATGAGCTATGTTCAAAAGTTCCACTTCAAACAGAAACGCAGTGCACCTTTGTGACAAGCTGATGATAGGCAGGTGCCTCAAGCCTCACATGCTCTCCCTGCCAGCCTCGGTGGGAGTGGTGCCAATTGTCATTTTATAATTCTTATGTCTTACTAATGTTCTAATTATGCTGGTCAATCTGGGAGGATTATTCCATTGAAACTTATTTTATTCTTTAGATACATCATTTAAAAAAATATATGTAAAAGATGAACAAACATGTATTAATAAAAATAAAAGGTTTCTTTGGGGTAAAATTTGGATTCAGCCTAAGGGCCACATGTGAGAACACAGGAGGCAAAGGCTGCAGGTTCCCCACCCTGGCCTGGTACGTGTGTACCAGAGACAAAATCATAGAATTGGAAATTTGAAAAAAGAGAAACCATCAAAAATACAGAGTCCTGCTGACAATTAGAATTTACTGTAGGAGCCAAGAAATCCCGTAAACACCTCCTGGATTGCATTTCTCAGCCTCCAAACAGGGTTTATTGTTTCCCGTAGATGAGTCTACTTGAGCACCTCAGTGGGACCTCCAAGACTGTGAGAGTATAATTTAAGAAATAATAAAAACACAACTCAAAATTATGCAAAATGTACAGTCCCGGGTATGCATTTAACTCATTGACAAGGGAGCCAACAAGATGGTAAGCCTGGTTCAGAGAGAAGAGAGTGAAGCTTTTATAGTCGCAGAAAGAAAGAATCTTAAGATTCAA